CATTTACTTTTATTGCCAAACACTTCCAAATATTAGCAGAAGGTTTACTGAGAAAAAAAAAAAAAAAACAACTGAGGGATTTAAACTTGTATTTCATTCCTTTGTCCAAACTGCACCTTGCTACGATATGCCTCAAAACAACAGAACAATAGTCAAGGCATTTGGCATGTTCTACTATTTATTTGCTTGTACCCTTTCCTTTTTAATTTAATGAACCTTTGATGGAGCCTTTCTCTGTGAAAGGAATGTTCTCACCCAGTGTATCACCAATGGCAGTGTTTTTCTGGGGTACTTTCTGAAATCCAGGATCTATGAAAGTTTTCCATACCAGAGGAATTACACAGCTCCAAAGAACAGCTAAGTGAGCTAACACATGCAACAAAACTGCAACTAAATCTATACGGCACTTTGTTTTAAGAAGTGCCCAATATTTATCCCCAAGCTCACCATCTAGCCCTTGCTCACCACTGACTGGGAGTAGCCTCAAATCAGCTCATATGATAAATTTCACAGGAAAAAAAGATTTCTGAGAGACTGAACCCACTCACATTTGTAAATTACTCTCAGTAAAATTACTGTTAGTGACCAATACAATAATACATGACTTTATAAATATTACAATAGGAATAATAGGTGATCAGAGCTGTAGGGCATTACATTTTTGACTAAATGTGTGTTTTCCCTCCTCCATGCTTCAGAGAAGGAAGAGGAAATATTTCTTCAAGGGAAGTGGTTAATCTAAAGTTATTTCTTGCTGAATATTTCTAGCTTATGTTGCCTTTGAGATAGTTATGAAAGGCTGAAGTATGGACGGGGTTTAAGTCAGCTTTGAGGAATACAGAGTTCTCAGGAATTAGGAAGGTGTTATGAACGTGCAGACTTTTAAAAGGTCAGAAAGTCAGCAAAAATTAATATAGAGAGGCAGGTTTGGTTTTCCCTTAATATTTTACCCGCGTTATGAACGTGCAGACTTTTAAAAGGTCAGAAAATCAGCAAAAATTAAGGCAGGTTTGGTTTTCCCTTACTATTTTACCCGGAGATAATTCCTTTTGTCAGAATAAACACAAAACAGTAAAAGCAAAACCCTTTTCCTCTAGCTCATCTGCTTTAGCTGTTGCCAAGGTAGCACGGAGCTTTACACAGCATTCCTATTCTCCCAAAAGACAAGAAGCAGGAATTTTCCTTAAAAAGAGCACTAAGCCAAGGTCTAATAGATTTAACACTACATCAGACCCTTATTCATTTCAAAACTGGACCCAAGCCTCCTTTATTCTATTTTTCAAATACATAAAAATCAGAAACTTATATTTTAACCATTTCTTCTGGAAGAAATCAGCAGCTTCTCTTTTTGAGCTCTTAAAACCTGGGCTGTTTTAACAGACTAATTCCCAGGAGAGTCTTTATTATCTTCCTTTGCTATAAATCTGTATTTCATTTTACAGCTATAATGCTGTATTTTATGGTCTCTATAATGCTCTATTAATCCCAAAGATTTGCTAGGTTCATAGTGGAGTTACACCACCACCCCCCCACACCTCCATTCTTAGCACTAACATCAAATGGGCAAAGTTGCCCCTGCAGTGTCTGGGGTGCTTCAGAAACTCCAGAGTATCTTGCTGGGCTCCAGAACAACACACCTCCCAGAGGTCCTGTATCATATACTAACCCCATGCAGACATCCTAGACATCCTGCACTTTCCAAAACAACCATATTTAAGCACCTGAATTGCCTCCCAAACAGCTGGCTGCTTCTCTGTCTCAGAGTTTTTATCACCTCCTCTCTACACACTGAACACAGGATTCTCAGGATTTCTGTTGAAATGAGAGGCAAAACTCCCCATTGCCATGCCAAACCAAGTTGTCAATGAAAGCAGATGTCTATTTTAATTTCCTGTGCATCCCTCCTGCTCCACTGACTTAATGTCTCTGCTTAAGTCTTCCTATTGTGTGCGTCTCCCTCTGGGCCTTTCTTTCTTTGCTAGACATTTAAAGAGATAACTGAAGCAACGTAAAGATTAGAAAGCTAAACGGAGCAGTACAAACATGGCTCCAACAGCCCAGTGTGTCAGCATAGATGCAGAAGACTAACTCGGCACGTTTCAGTTGCCAGCATTGGCCTCTCAAATTCTGGCTGCGCAGGCTCTTCTCTCCTGGCATGCAGGCTACCTTCTGCTTGCTGCTGAAAAACCCCACATAATACAAAACAGCTTTTCTCCAGTTCCTTCTGCGATTTGGAAGAGCCAATTCTTTGTCCCAACATCTGAAAAAAAAAATTACTTTAGTAAAAGCCAGTTCCCACAGAGCTTTCAACAAAACACCCATCGCTTCCTAAGGGAACTCGGTGAGCAAGTGCACCCTGGTGAGCTAGGAAACTCCAGTGAGCTAGGGCACTCACTGATAACATTCAGCTTTTGCTTGTTGGCCTTAATCCAACTGGAAGTTTCAGTCTTTAACACAAGAAGCACAAATTAAGGAATTTAAGGTAATCGAGGTTGGAAGGGACCTTGGACGGTCTCTAATCCAGCCTCTTGCTCAAAGCTGGGTCAGCTGTGAAACCAGACCATGCCACTCTGGGCTTTATCCAGCTGGGTCTTTAAAAATTCCAAGGTTGTCAAGGTTGAAATGGAATGATTTAATGCCTGGATAAACTTGAAGATCCTGTTGTTTTGATCCTGGAATGACCTCTAATGTTAAAAATAATTATTTCTTTGTTCAGATTAACCGCAACCCCCATTCCCCAGCCCCCTGTGCCGCTGCAGGGGGAGATTCTAGAGAAATCTGGAGTGAAGTTGAGCCCAGGAAGAAGTGGGGGGAGGAAAGGGAAGGTGTTCTAGGATTTAGGTTTTATTTTTTTTTCCCTACACTGATTTGATTGTTAATAAATTAAATTATTTTCCCCACATTTAGTCTTTTTGCCCTTGACGGTAGTTGCTGAGTGATCTCCCTGTCCTTATCTCAACCCAGGAGCCTTTCATTATATTTTCTCCCCCTCGTCCAGCTGAAGAGGGGGAGTGATTGAGCGGCTTTGGTGGGCATCTGGTGTCCAGCCAGGGTCAACCCACCACATTCACAAAGGATGCATTTGTTATTTTGGGGAGAGAGAGGACGTGTCTGAACATTCCTAAAATGTTCTGCTTTTTCTGACCCCATTACTTTAATTTTTAATTTCCAATCTTTGTATAATGAATTTCTAATGGGCTTTAGCACATTTGAGGTTGCAGATCTGGGGACACGGTTTGTGGCAATGTTAGCTTAAACATTTCCTGGTCTTCATTCACCCTTCACTGTCCCTCTGCACCCTGCGGCTGCCCTTGCAATTATACTGTTCAGTTCCGTGAGGCTTCATGTTGAACCAGAATGAGGAAATTGATTGGGACAAAAATAACCTTGCAAAATAAAAGGTTATTTTAATGGAAATCAGCTCCTTAATTTGTCAGAAAATTAAGGCAATAAAGAAAAGATATAGAGTTATTACCTCTCAAAATTTGAATTTTTAGAGACCCTTTGGCATGTAAACTTGAAGCACACCGTAGAATGACAGCCATTGCTATGCAGTTATCATTAAGGGCATTTACATCAATTACGTTAGGAAAAATGGGGAAAAAAGTTGCTTTGTTAAAGTAGTTATTTCGATAGCTCTGACCTTTTTTCCCCTGCACTTGCATTCCTTAGCTCACAGCTCTTGATCCTTAACAGGCTTTTTGTCCCACTTCACCATATCCTGTTTCTTTTCTTTCAAGAACATCCATAGGTCCCAGCATGTACAGCTGGGTTGTACAACATTTCAAGGTTGACCACAGCCCTGGATTCTGGGTGTTATCCTTGGCTTGCTGACAATCTCACTCCTGTCTTTGGGCATGCTCTCCCCAGTCCAGTACACACAGAGCAGTCCTTGATCAGCAGGACATCCCACCAGGTTTCCAGGCAATACCAAGGAGCATTAGTGACATGGAGCATAAGTAGCTCCCTGTAAGACCCCAAGCTGTTCTGACCCATAGAATATTTACAGTACAGCACCTGGTTTTCAGATTGTGCTCTTCTCAAACTGGCTCACTGCAGCCTGACTGCAGGCAGGTCCTGGTTTACATGATCATAGAATCATAGAATGATAGAATGTTTTGGGTTGGAAGGGACCTTTAGAGGTCATCTTGTCCAACCCCCCTGAAATGGGCAGGGACACCTTTAACTAGATCAGGTTGCTCATCAAAGACGGTGATGGCCAACGTCTTTGCCAAACTGCCAACCCACCCACTGCAGACCTATTAAAACCAAGTTCCCTTACAAAGATTCAACCACTTATCTCTTCTGTGACCTGCTTGCAGAAAGAGATTATAACACAGACACAGAAACACACTGGTGTTTCCCATGAAAAGTTGAGAAAGCCTCACTGCTTGCAAACACTGATCCTTACTCCTGCAGCTTTCTCAGTGCAAAATAAAGCTGCAAACTAAACGTCTCCTGTGACAGTCAGAACATCTAGGAAAAAATATGGTGTTGTGTGAGGAGGAAACACCATTAAATTCAATTGAATTGCTTTGCAGGAGAGGGTGTAAAATGTTGCGGGACATGCCGCAGGACTAGCAGCTTAACAAGGAACAACATGAGACTCACAAGGCTCACCTGTCCTTTAGGAGGCTATGGCTATCAATACACAAAGATGAGAAAAGAAAATAACCATCAACCTCAGCATTAAAAAATACTTGCTGCAGCTTGGTTCGAGTGAAAAAAGACTGGTAAATGTTCTCTTCAGTTAACCTGCTGGCTTTATCCCCTCTGTTTCACCCACTTAAAACTGGTCCACGCAGTCCCTAGCCATTTAGTCTGTGAAATTCTCCGCAACCATGCAGGGTGTCTACAAGAAAGCAACCCAGAGAATTACAAGCCTTTTCAAAGCCGTGCTCTTTAGAACAGTAGGAAAAGCAGAGCCAGTTTTGCTTACTGTGTCTTTTGCAGCAATGAGCTAGATGTAGCAATCTCACATCATCTTTTTCTCTGCACAGATATGGTTTCCATCACAACTGAAAACGTTACACAGCTTTACAACATCATGGCCACCCAGGAGCTCACAGTCAGTCCAGCAGTTTTCCACAATAATTCAGTAGTGCATCAGCTGAATCAACATAAATGTATTAATTTTGATGTATGGAAATGGCTACAGGATTTTCAGCCCGGATTCCTCTGGTTTATATTTATTCTGGGAGCAATAGAAAATTCCTTTGTCCTCACAGTCCTGTGTTTCCACAAGAGCCGCTGCACAGTAGCTGAAATTTACCTAGCAAACATGGCACTTGCTGACCTAATGTTAGTCTGCGCTTTGCCTTTCTGGGCCATTAATATTTCTAATGGGTTTCAATGGCCCTTTGGCCTGTTCCTCTGTAAAGCTGTCAACATAATGAGTCACATGAACCTGTATTCTAGCATTTATTTCCTGACACTAGTGAGCATCGACCGCTACCTGGCCTTGGTGAAAACCATGTCTCTTGGACGGATGCGACGAACTGTCTGTGCCAAATGGAACAGCTTTGTAGTCTGGACATGTGCTTTGCTCATGTGTTCTCCTACAATGGCGTTCCGAAATTTACAGTATTATAAAGAATACAACATCACAGCCTGCGCTCTTCTTTATCCAGCCAGCTACTGGGAGCCTGCAAACAACTGCTTGCTGAATATTGTGGGCTTTGTGATCCCACTCTGTATAATTACCTATTGCAGTGTGCAAATCATCAAAGCCTTACGAAGCAGTGAGCTACAAAAACTGAAGTTAGTCCAGACAGAAAGGAAAGCCACCATGCTGGTCCTTGCTGTGCTTTTGCTGTTCATCATTTGCTGGCTTCCATTCCAGATCAGCACGTTCATCGACACAATCCGTTACCTTGCACCCACTTTCAAATGCCTGGAAGATATCAATGACATAGTGACCCAGGTAGCTGCATACTCTGCCTTTAGCAACAGCTGCCTGAACCCAGTCCTGTATGTAATTGTCGGGAAGCACTTCCAGAAGAAGGCTGTGGAATTCTGCAAGGATTTGTTCCCAAAGAGGTGCAGAAAATCACAGTCTGTGCAGATGGAAAACTCCCTGGACACTTTAAGAACTTCTATTTCAAGTGAATGCCCAAGGAAAAAGTCTGTTTTCCCATTACCACGATAGCGCAATTTGTTCATTACAGGAAAAAAGCCTTCTAACATATCAGTCTCCACTAATTTCCATCTGCTACCGGTCCAGAGAATAAACGTGTAGTAGTATTCATCATCTGTGGGAATTTGATCTTAATGGAAGCTCCACACAGAGACCTGCTTCTAATGCTATTGGACATTTTTTCATGATTGAATCCTGCTTTGTAGCATGCTTACTTTTTCACGGCTGAATAATATTTGATGCATGTGTCTTTTGAAATGTTTGCATTTCTAAGGTGTACATACATGTACATACAGTTCTCTGAACAGAGCCCCAGTATAGAAGCTATTGTCAAGATTGTATAACTACTTACGGTACCCATACAGTTTGATAGACTAGATTTTTGATAGGAGGGGCTCGTTTTTGAGTAGGTTCTGGTAACGGAATCCTGTAGGACTATTATTCAAATGGATTTTTAGATGTGGACACCTTCTGGGCTTTTACTTTTTCTGTTCAGTCATCCAAAACTATTTTGATTATTTGATTGACAAGCTGTGCCTTTTTGCAACTGCTCTGCCGCTGCTAGTTACAGGTTTATGTCAGTTTGTATGTATGGAAAGCAGCTCAAAAAAAGTAAAGCAGTAGTGGAAGGAAGGCTGCAGCCAGATGCACGAAGTTAGCTGAATTTTCTTTGTAGCAGATGATTCTTTATCCTTTCTGCATCAGGGTAAAAGCATTAATTTACTCCTTTTGAATGAGTGAATGTTATTTACATTCATACCTACACTTCAGCTCAGAGACTTAGTTTTTAACATTCACAAAGCATAATTTATATTTGTAATGTTATTTAATGGAAACATAAAAGCCCAGCACAACTGGTATAATCTCACAAGTAGAAGAATCTGAAAATATGAAGGAGAGCATCACTTAACCGCCTTAGAAATCTAACTGTAGTTAATAAGAATCTTGAAAGTTCAGAGTATTCAAGAATGGCCTTTTCAGACTCTAATAATACCCACATTTTATTGGTAGAGTTAATCTGAGTGATTTTAGTACAAGATAGCTTTTCCTCAATTGGACTGGATTTATGATCTAAGTTGAGTTTACAGAGAAGATAAACTCACGGTGCACTGAATTGTCAGTGTGCACTTTTGCCTCTAGGAACCTTGATCAAAAACTGAGTTGGAGATGACATAAAAATCTTCTGAAAATAGCAGAGCCTTTATTCTTTTCAAAGCATTTCAGGTTGTAGCCTTAAAACCAAGGGAAATGGAATTTGGTGATAGAAGTAGACTCAAATTGCTACTGTGTGGTCTTTATCCATCAGAGCTTGAATGGAGCAAAAGTTCCACTTAAAATGTGAAATTTGTATTAAACCTTCAAGTAATTCAACCCAAAAATGCTCTAGAAGTGTGCAGGTGCACTATAAAAGCTCTGAGATTTGTAGATGACTTATAGACAATTTCCATAGGTTTTTCTTTAGTAATCCAGAATAAATCTATGTCATAAATACTTCTATTTTTCATTCTTTAAATTGTCCAAGACACTTGTGGTGAAACACTGCAAGGCTTTCCGTTATCTCCAGTGTTATCAATACTGTCTCATTCACAAGCATGGTGTTCACGCAACCGTTAAATAAAAGGAACTCCATACAGAGGTTATTGAGGCAATGGAAGTGATTTTTGATTATTTGGTACTGAGAAGTAAAACATAAAAATGTTATTATATTAATATGACACTAATTTAAATCATGTAAATATATAAACACATTATTTTGTTATGCAGTAAGCACGTACGACAGTAAATAAACTACTTTAAGAAATCAGATTTGCTGGCATTTTCTTCTCTAGCCCCAACCCTGTTACTTGGGAATGACTTGTCAGAAGCGCAACTGCTGCAGGTACTTTCTTTTACTTCCCATTGTATCACAGGAAAGTGAGCTGAAGCCACAGAATTTTAACTACTTCAAAGCTTTGGGTCAGCTTGCTTTTCAGGGCCCATTTCTGAGTGGTGCTGACCACCTTCAGTCACTTTGGAAGTTAAAATCTGAATTAAGCAGGCTAAGGATACTGAAACCTTTTCAGTAGCTTTTCTCTGCCTGCTGGGGGCTCAAGGTCCCATGAAACAGCAGATACAACTTTTCTTTGTGAGGACCGGGGGTAGACAAGAGCCTGTCAGTGCTGTTTGCAGGACGGACCCTCCGCCTAAAGCCTCACTCCTCTCAAAGCACGCAGACACCAGCAGCAGCGGAAAGCCCCTGCACCAGCCGCTGCAGACTGCAGAACGCACAGTGGCAGCTCACAGACTGTTTAATTCACCTTCTTGCCCACTTTCCAGCACTATCACACATTGTGCTATATTCATATGTACCATTTAAGCAGCAACAAAAAACCCCAAGAAATAAAGTGCAATGTCCAAACTTACCTACTGGCAGCTTACAGTCTCAGTCAGACACTTGGCTCTGACCTGATCTCACAGAAACAAAGCAAAATATGAGAAGGGTCCTTGGTAAAATGGGGGCAGAATTTGCCTGAGGATCTCAGAGCTGGAAAAGTCAAACTGTAATCACATCACCTTTTCATTCCTCTTTACCCTGTCCCCCTCCCGCAGCTGCTCCCATCTTCCCTTTTACCAGAGGCTGCCACATCTTTTACTGAGACGTTGGCCACGCAAATGGCTGACTCCACATGCAGTCCGACGGAGGTGGCTGGGCACCATTGCCAGAGGAATAGCAAAGATCTCATCAGCCATTTGGTATTTCTGGCCTGCAGTAGGTGCAGGCAGGAATAATTATCATCTTTTCACTCTCTGTTTTTTTCAGGCTGGTTATTGGTTTCACCTGAAATGTAAAATTAACAATTAATGTTGTGGACAGGACAAGGTTGCTGTTTCTTAGGCAGGGTTTCTGTGGAGAAGTCAGGAACTCAGTTCAGTTCTCCCCAAATCCCCAGGTAGTTCTTTAGCCTTTGGATCATCCCTTCCTTCCTTTCTTCCATTAACACATTGTGGGTTTCCAGCCTATACTGGCTCCTTCCATATTTTGCTGCTTCAGACTCTGTAAACTGTACTTAGTAGGGCTTGATTATTATTGCACTGTGATGCTACCAGGATTGTTTATTAGGAATTGTAAATCACTGCACCAGAGTTTAAGCTCTCCTCAGCGCCTAAGCTCTCCACTGTCTATAGCTTTCATAAAAGAATCCAATCAAGCTGAACAAAGAATTTTCCATTACAATGGTCACATCAAAAAACTTTTCCTCTGTTCCAGAATAGGTGAACAGTTATAGCAGACAACTATGTTGATTTGCAAACCATTTCCATAAAGAAAATCAAACTGTTAAATCATACTGTCCCAAAAAGACAATGTTTTCAGATCAGTAAAGGCTCCAGTTATGTTAAGAGGAAGTTTTAATGGCTAAACTGTTGGACCAAGAGCCAGAACTCTGGAAACCTTGTGGATTTCTGCCATTTGTCTACCACTTAATGTGTGTAATTATTGAGCAAACAGTCTTACCTCTGCCTTCATCAACATACTTGTTTAAACTTTCTGATCAGACAGGCCCAGTTAGCATTTGTAAATTCCTATGCAGCTCTAGAGAATGTGTACTTTTTGCAGGAAAGTCAACACAGACAGGGTGACTGAAGATCAGATAAGCTTAAAACATAAACTAATGTGCTGTGAGTATCCTGAGTTGGAGGCAGCAATAGACAAATATGTTTTAATTATGTATACACAGCAAAACCTTTTAACTGTTGACTCTAATACAAATATTTTTAACTTTATCCTTCACATTCCTTTAATTTGTGGTCCATTGTGCAAACCGTAAAATGTTACCAAGTCATTATATGCTCTCTACAGGTTGAAATGAAGATCCAAATGGCAAAGAAATAATAAATTAAATCTCTTTTATGTATAAAGTTGCAGCTTCTTATCTGGACTTGTTCTAGGTTGTTTAAGAGCTGGAGCTGCAGCAGTGCTTATTCATGTCACTATTTCCATCAAATGTATAGACTCTCAATTTTGAATCTCTCTTCACTGCTGACAAAAGTTCTAAAGATGGCAGTGAAAACCCACAGAAAATAAGAAACTAGATTTACAAAGAGGAGTTGGATTTGCAAACCAATATTTTGATCCCATTTTGGAGTGATGAGTTTCATAAGACTATGTTATTTATAATATAAATTTTAGATGCAGCTGCAGTTTTCTATGCAGAGTAAATGTGGATGTTGGCAGCTCCTAGAGATTCATGGCCAAGCAAGGACTAATTCCAGGCTTCTTGCTATTGCTCAAATCTTCTTCTTTATGGAAAAAATAACTTAAACACACAAATTCACTAGCGTAAGCAAAGAGGAAGTTTTGGAAAGTCTGTGACGAAGATCTCCTGTTGTATTGCACTTACCTTAATGGGTCAGCGTGGGATGTGTTGTTTAGAGATTGACCTGTAGGTTATTAGAATTCCTTAGGTAACATGTAATTCAAAAAATGTTGTGTTTCAGGTCTTCACCAAAACAAATGTTTTGATCCAGATATTTAAAAAATAATAATTTTGACGGAAGTGAAACACATAGCTTCATTTGAAATGTATTTCTTGTTCTGTTTTGTTTATTTAATAAGAGAAGTAAATGTTTAAATAAGATGCTGTATAATAAAATAATTTTACCAGTGTTTGCATAACTCTAACTTAGTATCTTTTTAATGACTAAAAAGTTGGGATAAAAGTATTTATCATGGTGCTAGGGAAGTTCATAATAAGATATCACAACGCAGCCTTGCATGGCTTTTCATTTTAACTCACTTACCAAACAAGAATGGACACAGTCAAATAGGAATTCAGAGAGACGGGGCAGGTGTTGGGTAGGTAGCCAATGGGAAGAATGTTTTCATATAAGAAAATAACATTCCAGTCCCTTGATAATTTCTCACTATTTTTTAAAAAGAAGTTGAAAAGGCCTATTGTTTACACAGATATACTTAAGAGATTTGTATTTAAAATCTGAGATGCATCAGATGATTTTTTTAAAATATTATTCTA